GCCCGCCCCGGCAGGTCCCGGCGGCTGCTCGCTCGCCAGCCCAGCAGCTGCCCACTCACCCGCCCCGTGGCCTTGGGAGCTGCCCGCCGGCCCCACTGCGCCCGGACCCCGCCGCCGGCGATGCGAGCAGGCAATCGGAGTGCTCGGGGTGAGTCATTTATCGTGTGCCTTTGTTAGAGCTGGGGTTGCGGTGAGGGGTGTGTTTCAGATAGCGCCTTTGCTTGTTCGTTGTGTTGAGTTTCTTCCACCTGCCGTTAAGCAGTCTCAGCCAGTGCTCAGAAATGCCGAGATCTTGGGGGTCAGGGACTGGAGAGGGAAGGGAAGTATTGCCGAGCTGTCCAGGCACACATCTGGGTTCCCTTGCGAGTTTGCAAACTGCAAGTTGCATCCTATAAAGCAAACAGCTGGTGATATGGAGTGCTTTCCATGAATGTCACCTTCAGGGGTACCACCGGTTTTTCGCTGCTCTGCGCCTAAAATGTGTTCCCTTCTTGAAGTCGAGGTGGGTGAGAAGGTGGCCCCCACTGGGTGCTGCTGAAAAGGCAGCCCTGGTGGAGTCAGTGCCGGCAGCATGCATTTTCTGCAGGTATCTCCCAAAGGTGGGCAGCATGGTGTGGCCCTCTGGGCCCATGCTGGGTAGAACTGGCAGGCCCCAGGCCCAGTACTAGGGCCTAAGAGACCCTAAGTATGACACATGGCAATGACTGCCTTTGTTCAGCTGGAAAGAAGCAAGAAACAAAAATACCAGTGCATCTGTGAGGTTGCTGTGCTTTCAAGTTTTTGCAGTTTTTGCCTGCCATTAATGTTGTTGGGTAGGAAGGTGGTGCGAGTTTCCTTAGAGAAATTGGTAAGAAACATCCTAACTACCTCTTCAGCACTGGCAGTAAGGCCCCAAATGTGTCTTGCACTGGCTGGCGTGCCTGCAGCAACACACTCCACAATGCAGACACAGAGCCACCTCTGTGCAGGCCCTGTTCTTGCCCCCACAGCAGGGCCACTCACCGTGTCCATGTTGTCACCTATTTGATATGCAGGTTTTGATCTGCAAAGCATCCCATACCTTCCGGTGGGAGAGCATGGTGCAGCCTTGATCACAGTGAGCAACGCAGTGCACTAGTCAAACATCATGTAAGTACCTGGTGTGGCATGGGCAAGTTACCAGCGCTGTAGTGCTAGCACTTCTGCCTTCCCCATGGGCAGACACAGAGAACACGGTGCGCCCTGTGGCACCCAGAATGGCCCGGGGACAGCTGCTCGTGGTGCTGCCTCTTGGGACTGGAGATGCTGCCCAGGGGAGCGGCTTAGGCATCACACCTGCCTTCTGGAAAATAAACCACAGCTAGGTCAAAATCCAGTAGTGCTTCTTGCACTGACACGTCCGTTTAATTTCGCTATTTTTCCCGCTTCTGCCGCCGGTGTGCTTGGAGCCCTGTGCGACGACGAGCGGGCGGTGCGGACCCCCTGGCTGCCAAGAAAACGCTGCGGATATGGCTTATGCCCAGCCGGGCCCGTCTACAGGAGGTTTCACCCTTGCCTGGCGGAGACCCCTGCGCCGCTCTGGCTGCCGTACCACCCGCCCCGCGCCGGCGG